AGGATTACGCCTGAACAATCTCTCGGGTTTCTATGGAGGTCTCTTCAAGGTGTGGGGACTACTCAGAAGAGAGAGACCAGAGTACTGTGGCTCACTGTTCTGGCTCCTCAAAGAGCCGGTGGTCCGTGGGACTCGGTTTGTGTGTGGAGTAGGGCCCTCTCTACAACAGAGACTCTGTGAAGAGAGGATCCTCACGCTGGGCCAGGTGGTGGAGGTGTGTGGCCCCCGCCTGGACAACGCTGCAGGCCTGGCCTCACGTCTGAGCCTCAGGTCAGTCCGGTTTATCAGCCTCCTGCTGCTGAGCTGGAAACAGCAGCTCAACCAATCAGAGCTGGCACAGATCGCTGCTCACTACAATGGACTGATCTCAGTTGTGATGGTTTTTTGTTAAAGTTGGACAATGTCTCTGATTTTAAGTTTTGCACCATGTCCAACAAAACCTTTTATTATTTGGTGACAAAGGTGGTGAATTAGAGCAGACTCCAGGAGCGAGTGGACACCCGGTGGAGAGCCCACCTGGGCCTGACGGAGGCTCAGAGGCCTAAGTGGAGAGCGCTCTACAAGCCTCCGCTGACTAAGACCCCATTTACACAGGAACGTTTGCGTTTACGCCACAAATTCGTTTTCAAAAAAGTCTTCCATTCACACGCATTCGGCTCATTTAACGTGTCCGTTCACACGAGACCACTGGAAACGCTGTAGTACATATGCCAAAATGTACACCAAAAGCAGCGAAGAAGACCCCCGAGCATGGTTGCCCTTCTGTTTATGCCCCGCGGTGAATTTAGCAACATGTAGTTCATGTAATTCTCCATGTCCACTTGTTGCTGATGGTTGTGGTAGAGGAGCTGTAGATTTTGCACTAACATCTGTAGCATGGTCAGTAGCAGTAGCAGTAGCTACTGACAGTAGCTACTGACCATGCTACAGCAGTGAGCAGCAGAGGTGGGGAGAGGCGGGGCTATGGCTTCATCGTTATCAGGAAATGATCGTATAGGGCAGCGGTTTTCAAAGTGTGAGGCGCGCCTCCCTGGGGGGGCGCCAGAGAGCTTCAGGGGAGGCGCAGCATGAGAAAAAAAAGTAACGAGAACAAGATGAGTAAAGTGTCACTTGCACACTTTTGGCTGTCTGTGGAGACCGAGTTCCCCCACCTCGCCAAAAAGGTTGTAAAAGTGCTCATACCCTTCACCTCCACCTACCGGTGTGAGTGCGGGTTTTCCGCATTGACTTTGATCAAAAGCAAGTACCGGTCAAGGCTGCAGCCAGAGGCTGATCTGCGTTTATTCCTGTCTACATTGCATCCCCGCCAGAGTCCTGCACGGGTCTGATTTTCAAGACCCGCTCACGCCCCGCACCTGCAACGTGCAATACCGAACCCGCCCCGCCACCCGCACATATTGCCAATTAGTTCCGCAAACCGACCCGACCCGTCGGCACAAGATCCGCAAACCGACCCGAACCCGCATATCCTAGGAGCACTGAAAACATGCAATTATTAACACACGCAGTTGCGTATTTGGCTCAAAAAGCGTGGGATGTTGGTTATTTTCTCCATGACACCAAAAGCCTCCCAGACGTTGGATTTCGCTCTTGAGGAAGAGTTATTTACAATGCTGTATTCTCCGCTAGAGCTTCACCTCAGCCATTTCGAATGTGGCGCGCTCAGCAGCAGATTGATGCGGTGCAGAGGTTATGATTATGCGCGGTCCCGCGGGGAGAGGTCTGAGGAAACTTACCACCCGCGAATCACTTTTTTTGCGGGTCACCCGTCGGGTACCGACCCAATGCAGGACTCTGATCCCCGCAGGACTCTGATCCCCGCAGGACTCTGATCCCCGCATCACCCGCATGTGCGCATCAAAGACGCAGACTCATTGTTCCCAGCACTAAAGTAGGGGTGAGTGTAATAAGGAGGCAAAGTTGATGTTCAGTGTGTTGCCGGGAGCATATAAGGATTCATCCACGATGTTGAAAATGTAAAAAATGTTTAAAACACATATTTAAAACATAAAGATAAAAAGGTTTTAAAAAGTTATTTTTTAATGTTTTTAGGAGGTGATGCTACTCAGCCATTCAAATCGGTGCAGTCAGTGAGTCAGCACGATAGATTCAAACACACAGAGACGAGACAAGAAGAGAGAAACAGTTGGAGTAACTTCAAATGGCGTGCTCAAAAAAGAGAAAGGTAGACAGCGAAAACAGAGCATTTAATGACATTTGCTCTTATTGGACCTATTTGAAATGCAATTGAATACCCCTGCATTATAGCAACAACAACAATAATAATAATAATAATGATAGCAATAATAATTGGGAGGGGGGACGCGGCTGTTCTCATGTTCTCTGAGGGGAGGCTCACCTTCCCAGACTTTGAAAACCCCTGGTATAGGGCATACACACAGAGCCGTTTGACCCCACCGAGCGTTCCGGTTGCAGATCTATCCACCTTGGGACCCGTTATCGTTTGCGGGGTCCGTTTCCGCGGATCCGTTACGGCCTTGTGTGAACGAACGGGCTATACGCGAGAGAAAAGTAGCAGATACAACCCGTTTCGTTCTCGTGTAAACACCGCCTAAGAGGGGTGGGGACCTACAGTGGAGGATTCTCCACGGTGCAGTAGTTAATGCTTTCGTTGCAGTGATCAACCCTACAGTGTTTGACACCTGTCCTTTTTGTGTACAGAGGGAAACCATTTTTCATTGCTTTACAGCAGGGGTCGGCAACAGGCGGACCGCGGTCCGGATCCGGACCCAGACGCCGACCTATACGGACCCGGACCTATAATCAATACATTAATAGGGGATTTCAATTTTGACGGGGCGATTCTATTTTAACCGCCGCCGACAGGGGGCGAAAGAGACGAGTGAGCGATACAGGGAGAGAAACACAGAAGAAGAGACGAGAGAACGGCAGAGAGAAGCGGAGAGGAAAGTGAGTGAAGAGAATAATTAGCGATACAGGGAGAGAAGTGGAGAGGAGAGTGAACAGGCGTGTTAGCGGCAGACAGGGAGAGACAAATAATGACACATGGCGCTCTCCAAGAAGAGGAAAGTAGACAGTGAGAACAGAGCTTTTAACCCTGAGTGGACGGACTCATTCATGTTCATCCTGCCCACTGGGAGCACAGAGCCAGTGTGTCTCATTTGTTCAGAGACCGTGGCGCTCATTAAAAGTGCCAAAACGCCACTATGAGACAAAACACAAAGTGTTTGACCAAACATTCCCTCTCAAGTGTCAAGTCAGAACTGAGGTCACAAAAAATAAGCAGTCTCAGAGCCCAGTATGATCAGTCCACCAGGATCAAAATTAAAACTAAATATCGTTCCAGGGCAGGCTAACCGAGGCTAACCAAAGAGCACCTGCATGTGTACATGAGAATGGCCCTGACACCATTTCAGCCCAGATTTAAACTCCTGGCAGGACAAGCTCAAGCTCAATTCTCGCACTGAATTAAAAAAAAGTGAGTGAGGGACTGCAATAGGGAAAGAAAGAGAAACTTTTAAACTGTTCAATTGTTATGATGTGTAAAGACTGATATTGTTCTATAATCGGCTGAAACTGTTAAGTCATGATGTGAAACGGTTAACAAAGCTATTTTTAAATGCAGCCAGAGAGGAACATTACACATATCCACAGTATTTACTGTATATCTTTATAGTTCAATGTTAATTGACAATAAATATTGTTGTTTTTGAATTGTCCTTTCTTTATTTGATTGGCAGTCAGTTGTTGATTACATGCAGACGTTGATAAAGCTACAGGCTACTTCAATATATATCACACTAATTCATAAAGCAACTTAGACATTTTGATGTTCCGGACCTTTGCATGGGGAGATTTTCTCTAAATGGACCTCGTTGAATTTTAGTTGAATACCCCTGCTTTACAGAATGTGGTCGACTCCTTTGTCTTTTTCAGTTACTCACCCAGATGTTGATTTGGTTTAATGTGGTTTTTTCTAAGTCAATGTTCATTTTGGGTTGTAGGTACAGCCAGAAGCAGAAGTGCAAAAGTCAGCTTTTGAATTTTTTGTTGGGGCAAGCAAAAATGGCCATCTACCTCAGCAGGAGAAATAAAGTGGAGAAATCAATGGATACCGATGCAGTTTAGATTTTTCAAGCGTATGGTAAAAGCAAGACTGAAAACGGACTACAGTTACTTTTGTTTGACCAAAAATGTGGGAGAATTTGAGGGCATGTGGCGCTTTAAAAATGCTTTGTGTTCTGTGGAGAATGATGATCTTATTTTCAGTCGTTTTCTGAACTGACAATGTGTGTCAATGTGTCTGCTTTGTTTTTTGCTTTGTGAATAAAAGTAGTTTGAAAAATAAAAATCTCTCTCTTTCTCTCACTTTGGCTGTGAGCTGCGGGCGCCTGATAAGCCAACATCCCCCACTTTCATCACTTACAGCGCCCATCGTACAGGGCAAATGGAAAATGTAACCGGGGTGAAAAGGGTGTTATCTTTACATAATTATGAATGTTGTTACATCAAGGCTGAAAATGTGTTGTTTTTGTATTATATTTCCATTTAATCTTGTGGACGTGCAGATTCCCTGTCCTCCATCAGGGGGTGCTGCAGCACCCTCAGCACCCCTACTTCCCACGGCCCTGCTTCCATGTATGTGTAAACCTTCTTTCTATAAAACTGATTTGGATTCTTTTGGACTTTACCACAAATGTGATGATCACCCGAGTCCGTTATCATTCTGCGCAGCCACCTCTAGAATCTATCCCTACAAATAGTATTTCACCACTAATAGTAGTTAAGCCTAATCTTTATCTGGCGCTATGTATTAATACAGCAGAAATAAACATGCTCACAGCCTGCTTTTATTCTTTATACCTCATTTTACTGTTTGTGACTCAAAGCCTCTTTGGGTATACATTTTTATAGAACTTGTTTAAAATATATTAAGGCTTATAGTCCTGCAGAGGGTGGCCTCTTTCATACACGGGGGGTGCTGACACACATGGAGATACACTGGACTCTCTCCTCACCTGGTCCAGCACGGTTCCTTTCCACATCACATGCCCCCCCCCTTCCTTCCACACGTGCTGGATCCTGCAGCCCACGATGTTACGCTGCATCAGGACCTTGGAGTTGGGACTCAAACTGCTCTTGTGATTCCTTCAGGGACAAATGGAACAAACATTCAACACTGCTCCGTCATGTTTACTGTTCCCACTGAGTTGCATCTGTTGAACTCCATCATTTGGGAACAGACACATTATTTCAGATTACTAGTTTGAGTCTAATTAGTTTGGCCCTTACAGAAAATACAGAAATATCTCAACTTACTTATGGGGACTCTTTTTATTCATCATATTATCAGAAACACCTGCATGCCCTGAGGAGAAAAATAAATCACAGCACATTCACCAAACACTGTTCAAAGTGACAACTTCCTGCTGTCTGTTAAAAGTTAAGTTAGAGTCATGCTGTCAAGCAGTTGTGAGCACAGGCGGAGATTAAACTGTATATGGACGTGTTCATTGACACTCAAACATCCACATTTTCGGGAAATATCAAAAAACGTGAGCACACTGTGCTGTGTAAAAATCAACCCAAAAGACAGTATTGCACACTGTTCAAACGCGGGCAGGGTGAGAGGTGTGTGCATGTAGCAATAGAGTGGCATAGAGTCAGCATTTTACCACTTCCCGGTACCTTGTTTAAAAATCTAAGTTTTTCCCAAATCTTTTTTGGTTGTTAGCCTGAAACAAAGTCTGTGGTAAACACAAGCTGAAGAGATTTGACATAAAATATAGAGATTATTTTCAGCCATAATCCATGAAATAATTAAGAATCCCATAGCTTTTTGTAGAGGGAGCTTGCAATGCTAACTTCTGGGTTGGCCTACAAAAATACTTCATCACTGCACCACTGGTGCATTTAACTTGGTTTCAGCAGCCAACTCAAATCTTATATGTTGTTGTGTCCTTAACGTCTGCCTCTTCTCGGTCTGCCTCCCCACATGATGATTACCCATCTTTGATAACAAAGATCACAGCCGTAGTGAATAAACTAAATCTCTGCAGGTTGATTTTAATACAAATGCCCTAAATCCAACAGAAATTGTTGGAAAACAAAGACCACAGTCATGGAGTGTGTGTGAGTGTTATGACTGTGTGTTCTGGCAGTGGGATGACCTCTGACCTGCATCAGCTGTGTCCCGGAGAGCTCTTCATTCATCAGGAGGCAGCAGGCAGCCAGGCTGCCCGACACACAGCTACAACACACACCTGTCCGCTCACACTGCAGGAGGGGAACACACACATCTCCTGTGAGGTACAACAAAATGACTACTGGCCACAAGACATCCCCTCTACTGAGCTCTGCTGGTGAAAATCAGGAACAACAACAACATCAACAGTAATTATGTAGTCTGACAAACTGCAAATCATTTAGGAAAATTATAAATGACTTTCAGCTTGTTATTAAATGTCATGATGGAGGGCTGCGTAATTCATTTAAATGTCATTGAAATTACAATATGAAAAAGTGTGTTATGTATGTGTTAATATTATTCTGACTTATGGCTAGACATAGATGACCCAGCCAGGGTTTCCGATAGGGATGCCAGAAACTGACCATGATCAAATTCGAAAATCGGACAGCCCTGGCGAATATTAATCCCCCGCGGGAGGGAAAAATAAAAAGTTTTTTCGCAGAGTTTGCATTTGACTTCATTTGCACTTGTCAGTTCTAAGTAGTTCCACGAGGAACTCTTCTTTGAACGTGCCGCTTTGTTCCTCTTTAGTTGTGTTGCACGTGTGACGGAGAGGGGGGGGGGGGGGGGGGGGTTGGTGTGTAGCAGGCAGCAGCAGTCTGCGCTGCTGGCTTCCTCCAAGTTTACAGTAAAACAAACTGGTGGTGTGACCAATGGCCATTTACAATTATTAATACTATTACTATTATTAGCATTAGTCTATATTTTGGTTGAAACTAAGCCAGGAAAAAAAAGTAAAACATAAATAATAAAAATATATATAAATAAAATCGAATTTTAAAAATAATTTTCGATTATAGAGACTGTAACGAATATTCGAAAAATCGCTGGCATCCCTAGTTTTCCGATATTTGTATATAATATTGCGGCACGCGGTTGCGGCACCGTGAAAGCCCCGGCCCACCTATGCCAGAGCCAGCGGCCCACCGGGAAAAGTCCCGAATCTCCCGATGGCCAATCCGAGCCCACACACACACACACAAGAAAAGCAATGTGGAGCGGAACCCCACTTCATAAGGAGTTTAACCGTGACACTTTTCGAAATCCCGTTTGTGTCCCCCCACTTTACAAATAGGCCTATGTTTATTTTATTTATTTTTTAACGCAAGCCGTCATCGCCACGGAGGAGCACACAGCCTCTGTGAGCGAGCGAGACAGAGAGAGAGCACACCTTTATCTATTTAATATAGCCTAGTTGTAAAAAATAAAGTAAGAAATCATTCCAATGTGTACTATAGGACACGCTGGTGAACTATCAACAGGATGGCGGGGAAGCAGTGTGTGGACCCGTCAGCGCAACTTACATGATGCCGAATTTAACAGACACATTTAAATAATTGGTTTAAACGGCATAATAATAAGGACGATTCTCCAGAACACATGTTATGATATTAGGGTCATGCAGAGTGAGATGAGATCGCTGTCCCTTTAAGAGAGAGAGAGAGAGGGGTGTGGCGTGTGCATGTGTGTGTGTGGATGGTAGAGCGAGAGTGAGCGAGCCTGTGTATGTTTCTGGAAGTGAAACGAGGCAGCAGAAAAACAGAGCTCTGTGATGTATTTTGTGAAACAGAAGAACAGCTAAATAAATGCAACGGCCTCCCAAGAAGAGCTCGCCTCTCTCCAGTCATTTAAGCTAAAGTGGGTTATTGAACCTGAAGCTTGTTGCTTCTACCCTCCTCGACTACGGTCTGGGAGCCGACAGGAAAGTTCAACACACAGATGGCCAGTCCGCCTCTTTGTAGCATATTATTTCAATGAGAGATGAGCAGATCGCCACTGGGCTTTCAACTAAAGACACAGCCACGCAAAAACTGCGGCATTTGTAAAGCTCCTTATGGGTACTACAATTTGTGAAGTGCTTTCCTCTGTGGTGAAACGATCAGCCCTGCACCACGGAGGAAAGTGGCAGAAAGTCACCTGGAGTTAAACAGAGCGGGGCTGCGTTGCGTGCATGGCTTCTTTCTGCAGGTAACGGGGAGACGCGCTCTGGCGGTGGTCTCGTTCAGGATCCGAAAATACAATTTAAATATTTTGCACACTTATTCCACTTATTCCTAGTCTGCCACTGGTTACGGTGCCGCGTGCCAGGGGTTGCCGACCCCTGGACTAGGGCATTATGCAAATTGTAGGGGGCAAAATATTTATTTAAGGCATAACTTTTGTATAAATATAATTTTGAATTAAGTCATGTGGAACTGCAGAGTTGTCCCAGCCAACTGGAACATATTCTACAGGCCTAAGAAAAACATAGTTTTGTTCGACTGAATAAATTGTGACTGTGAATGCTCCACTGGTGAATTTTAAAATGGCATTTGCTAACACGTGTCAAACTGAGATGACTAAACGCATTTAGCTTAGCGGTGGTGACGTGAAGTCACTGTGACGTAGTTTGTTTGTAGACTAATGTTAGCTTTTTACTTCTGCTGTTTGCATTTACACTTTAAAAATCACCCAAAAAGTGTTAATATGTGGAGATTATTCTGCTGAACAATCATGTAAGTATCATAAAAGTGTATTTGAATATTTTCTGCCATATTCCAAAATCCAATAGAAAAGCTATTTTTGTCAAGGGAACACTTGCGATCACTGCACCATTCATTTATGGAAATGTTGGAAATATTACACTGGACCTACTTTTCAGTAGTGTTGTATATTGGACCTAACATTTATTTTTACAGACCAAGATTCCTTTATGTGTGTTTAGTTCTGAAAGTTGGCCCTAAATGTCTGGTGTGATACTATGGGATTAGTTTTGTATCATAAAGATAAAGCAACACTTTCTCAGAATGAAGCAAAACTATGAGTTTAAAAGAAGAAAAAAAACTGAGTCAAGCAAAATAAAATTAATTTCAAAAATAAAACTATAAGTTACAAACAAATCATTTGTGTAATCATGTAAACTATAAGTCTTTTTTTTTTGTTTTAACATAGATTTTTGTTTGCAGTTCTTGTTTCTTCTTTCTCAATGATCAGACTTTTGCTCTCGCTGCAGCTCTCTCTTTTGCGCTCCTTCACTTTTTGTTTGAGATTTAGCTACTCAGTTTTTGAGTTACAGCCCAGTCCTCCAGCGATTGTACAGTGCAGGCAGCTGCGGTGCGGTAGCTGAGCGTGGACAGAAGACCCCCAGAAGAACCAGCATTTCAATTATTATAATACAAGTGAAAATATATGTAAGTATTGATCATTTGTGTTGTTTGTGCTGTACTATACGGTCTGTTTCTTTATTGTGTTAGTTAAGTGAGAAGTAAAGAAAAGCTGTGTTATGAAAGTTAGCTTTTGCTAACTTTAGATCCATAACAATGCAAGCTAGTAGCCTAATAGCAGGGACAGTTAGCTACAAAGCGAGCAGTGAGTGAGTGAGCGTTCTGACACCGGCGCACACACTCAAACGGACTCGTGTGCCTGACTCTACCAACAGGCTTTCATGATTCTGTTTAGATATGCAAGTATAAGCCATGATAGCTTATTTTATTAACACGCTAATTTGATATGAAAATCAATGGAGGCTGAGTTAACTTTGTAGGAAAACCTACCGTCCATGATGCCCCTGAGCTGTGTTTTATTTGTTAACTTCATATTTTTCATTTCCTAAAACATTTATTTTCCTCTCATATTAACAGTGTGGATCATTGAGACAGCGTGGTGTCCAGAGGTCTTATCCCGTGTTCCCACTTCCTCTGAGGGGACAGCACGGAGGGGGGGCATGAAGAGAGACCTGCACCATCTTCATTCACGCTGGCGTTGCTGTTATCACTTGCTCAGTGTCATTTCATTTGACCAAATGTCTTTACATATACATTTAATAGATTTTATTATTATCCACCTTTTTGATTTATGTCCTTTTATTTAAAACATTCTTTGAGACTTCATCTTCTGGTTCAAATTTCAATAAATGTAATTTGTATAATCACTCTTTTGTCTTTATTCTACATGAAAATGTTAGAGATTCCATTCAAATCTGTTGATTATTCATATCTTCCTCAGGAATAGTATGTCGAATTTGTAATGCTAAATGTATATCATTTTCTCACAGGATATAGAATGAGACAACACAGTTTATATCCATTGTGTATGAATGCTTCAGCTCTTCAGACCAACATAGTAAGATGTGAGCATGTTCCTAATTGTGTTGGTATGCAGCCTAGGTCTGGTCTGTTTCATAAAGCAAATCTGCCACTTTTATATTGTAGAATTTGTTCAATTAAAGCAGTCTTTAATTGTTTGTCCTAAACATAGCAATATATGCTTTTGAAATGTAACAAGTCTTTGAAAAAATAATAGTATACAGTTTATATTGTGTATCACCTTTAGCTTGAAAATACATAGATGTGTTTTTTTAATCTATAAAATAAATAAATAGACAGACACTTTATCAATCCCAAATTGGGAAACTATTTAACAGCAGCAGTGTGTTCAGGTATTAACATATTTAAAGTTGGAATAAAGTATAAACTACACAACACAAGTCTAATGCACAGCAATCCATAAGATAAGTCCGATATGTTCATGAAACTCCCCAGGAGGCACCAACACTAACGTGGCCGAGTGGACTCCGGAGTTTGCTGCATGAGTTGCACTGTATGATCTGTGGTGTAGTGGGCTGTCACTCAAAAACTGAGTAGCCAATGGGGACACACCCCTGAAAGTCCCGCCCACCTGGAATGTTGGTGTCAAAATCGAAAACAAAAAATGAGGGAGTGCAAACGAGAAGAGCTGCAGCGAGAGCAAAAGTCTGATCATTGAGAAAGAAGCAAAGAGAACTGCAAACAAAAACCTATGTTAAAACAAAGAAATAGTTTACATGATTACACAAATGATTTGTTTGCAAATTATTTGAAATTAATTTTATTTTGCTTGACTCAGTTTTTTTTTCTTTTAAACTCATAGTTTTGCTTTATTCTGAGAAAGTGTTGCTTTATCTTTATGATACAAAACTAATCCCATATGATACAGGATACTTAGTTTATTCAGTGCAACAGCATTAATTTCAAACCAATAAAAGAGAGTAATGAACATTTAAGGTTCAGCATATTTACCCCGTCTCCAGACAACAGGCTGATGTGATGTTAAGCAGTCTTCTGGATTTTCAGGATTCAGGATGTGTATCTGCTGAACACACAAATTAATCTACATTTTAAGATGATTCATCTGAAATTGTGGCTTTCAGGGATACTTGATAGATTGGATTGGTGCCTTGCTCATGGGCACTTCTTGTGTATCTGATTACATATGAAGGACTTGAACAAAGACATTTAAACATATATTATATATTTACATGACATGTTATTTATGCTTTTAGCAAAAGCGACCTACATACAGGAGGAGCTCCAACAAGGCGTGTAGGACAGAGAGTGAATACACATACTATACAGAGATGCTGTATGAGAAAACCAATGTGATTTTGGAACATTGAACAATGTAAATCTATTCTAGTAGACCTCAACAATGGAATTATGATCAGTAGTAGGGATGCTCCGATCGCCAATTTTGGGGCCGATCAGTATCGGCCGATACCAATTGCCGATCCGATCGATTGGGCGGGGCCTATGGGGATCTTCCATTTAAAGTGATGTTTAAAACTCAGTTAATGGGGCTCATTCACTGGCGCTTCCACAAACAACAACCAACATAATTATTACATTCAAATGAAGTAGCCTACATTATTCAAGTTTACATTAACTTTGGATAATAACACGGGAGAAATGAGCGGAAGCGCTCTCTTTTCCTCTCTCCCCCTCCCTCTCTCTCTCTCTCTCTCTCTCTCTCCCCCTCTCCCCCCCCCTGACAGCCTGACAGTATCTCATGCAGCTCACTGATCCAGTAATGAGTGACCCGACAGTGAAGAATAAATATATTTATAACTAGTTTAGCTTGTTCCAGAGGTAGATAAAATAGCTAAGTGTGTTAGGTCTAACTCTTGTGTGTTTTGCTCCGCTCACCGGTCCGTCACAGCGGGTGGAGCTGCAGGATTTCTGCTTCACACACGTTGCATACCGCTATTTTATTGTCATTTTCGGACACCTTAAAATACTGCCAGACTGGTGAAGACATTTTGGCGAGCTTGTTTTGCCGCGCGCGATCGGCATTTTTAGAGAGCACCGATCGATCGGCAGAAAGTGAGTATCGGTCGATATCGATCGGTGGCCGATCGATCGGAGCATCCCTAATCAGTAGAAATGGCCATGACATGGGACCTTTAAATATTTTGGGAGGGTATATTAGAGCCATTCTAAAATGACCACACTTAACTACGAAAAAAGAAAATGATGGAGCCAGAATTGGGTCATCATCGTTGCAGAGGCGCCGGGCAGGAAGTGGAACGGTCAGAGCATCCGGCCCATCCCCAAAATAAACTAATTTTGCAGACCCTATCCCTCCGTAGTCTTTCAAGTAGGAGGAGAAATGCCAGCGTTCTCCTCCGGTTTACAGGCACTGTGTAAATTATATATATAGAATAATTATGATGATGAATGCATTTTTTTACCACTAAAATACAGCAACACATCTTTGATTCATGTAGTTTATAACTGGAATATTACAATTATTATTAACTTTGTCTGTACAAAGTAGCCTGTCCAGGAAATATGCCCAAATCAACAAAAACTGCGAGCTGGCAGCCAAGACGCTCCGCTTCTGAAACGCGCCTGGTAGGGTATGACGCCGGAGGAGGCCGGACCAAAACCGTGGCGCAGCCATGACGCGACGCAGACGGACCCGGTGGAATTGAGGGGTTAGCGGGCAAGAGGGCTGTCTCTCTCGGGGGGGGGGGGGGGGGGGGGGGGGGGGGGGGGGTTTAATTAATCTATGCGCCAGGGTCATTCTATGCGCCAGGGTCATTTTATGCGTGTGAAAAAGCACATTTTTTGCTCGTGAGCAGGGGTAAGGGGGGGTGCTGAGGGGGCTGCAGCACCCCCATCTGTTGGCGGAGAGTTGTAACTGCAACGCCAAAAAGTTCACTAAACAAATCAATACAAAAGCTTTATTTTGAGTTACTATTTTTGAGTTAGCATTTTAGTGTAAGCAGTCTATAAAAAGCTTCACTATATAAGAGAAATTGATAATGCGGTGTGCTTCTTCTGTTGCTCTGCTATAGAAAAGAAGCTTGTCAGTGCAGACAAGATCAGGGATGGGAGTTTTGTGAAAGCAGGGTTTAACAACTGGCGAAAGGCAGGGCAAACATTTAGGGAGCATGAACACAGGCCGTCAACAAACTGGCAGCATTAAAACGAACACCGATGAATGCACTGCTCTCACAAGCAGTTGCTAAAGACCAAATTACTGCATTTAATATGACGTTATTATACAGGACCACCCAGTGGCATCGCCTAAAGCCCCGAATGTTTTTTCTGTAGCCCCGGACAATTATCCCTCAATAATATAATACATTAACCGTGCTTTACCTGAACCTCATCATGAGAGGACGGCAGAATTGTAATTTCCCGTGTTCGGTGAATGCAACAGAGGCAAGACACCAGACCAACCAGAGAGTTGAATGGAAATAAACATCTGTCTTATTGGCTGACAGGTACCTATCCTGTGAGCTGTGACAATGTTTAAACTGTCAGTCGGACTCAGAGTTTTTGAAGATGGACATAAGAATATTCTTTCTTAAAAAAGACGACCATTCTCAAGTGGTGGCTCACACAACAACAACCCCAGAGCCACCACTTGAGCCAGGTAAACAAGGTATGTAAATGTCAGTAAACTTCCAAGTTATGCAAACATGTAAGCAAAGCATAAATTACAGCTACGTTGACGTTACTTTGAATCGCGGGGGTAAGCTAAACCGTTAGCAAGTAGCTATAGCTAGCCAGAGATATTAAATAAACACTTTGTCATACAATCTAAATGTAATGTTTTTTAGCGTTACCTGGTGATTTCAAAGAAAGCTCTCTGGGAAATGTTGACTTACTCTTCGACATGAAGCTAGAAGCTACCTTAAGGCCCTGACACACCAGGCAGTCACCAGAGAACTCGCCGACACCGACAGTTCCATCGACGTGTTCTCCTGCGTCTTGGCCATGTGTCGCACTGGAAATCACCGCAAAGACTTCAGCCGAGCACGTACGAACTGCGCATGCGTGAGTGGCAATAACTCTCCTTACCAGCAGGCGGCGGTAGTGTGTATTCGTCATTCAAAATAGGCAACAACCGGAAGACAGAGAAGAAGAACAGACTGATATAAACAAACAAATAGCGTGTGCGTTCCATTTTCACTCTCGTCCATCGAAAACATGTTTTAGAATATAAAAATACATGAATGATGAAATGAGCACATAAAGTGCAGACATACTATAAAATCACAGTTAATAGACCTGCATCTGATGATCGCAGTGTTCTGGCGGGTGTGTAGTTTATTGAGTCAGCAATGTAATAATGGCCACTTCTTGCTAAATTTACGATGAGATGAAAAACCGGACTTGACCAAACAAATCACGGAGCTCTCAGCAGAGGACAGCCGGGGACGCTCCCGCCGATATCAGAGATGTCCCTGCTATGTGTGGGAGATAAGAGAGGACATTTAAGGGCTATGTTTGATGTCTTTTAAGTATCACCAGAGGCCTGTACTACGAAGCTGGATTTTCGCTTAGCCGGCTAAATTCAGGGAAATCTCGGGCTTTCCGGTCCTACGACGCTGGTTCTCTTTTTAGCAGGCTAGATTTCCATGGTAACTTATGCTGAGCGGCAAACCTGCTCCGGAGCAGGTTAGGTTGCAGGCTAAGAGATCAACTCAGTGAAAGCACCGCCTGCTGACCAATCAGAGCTCCGTGTGCGGAGTTTAAAGCGATCAATTCATATTACAGGATAGAGGAAATACAGAAAAACTGCCGTTGCAGGAAAGACGGCCGTGAAAATTAATAGAATATCCCCTCCCATCTTCAGAGCAATCTGACTATTATAATATTAGCGTTAAGAAAGCTTACTTAAATATCTGCCACGACATAAGTAACCGGATCAGAGTAACATTAAGTACAGTCCGCGGCACTGTGAGTGCAGACGTAGATGTGTCCCATTATCATTCATATCATATCACATCATAATGTATCATATATTTCCTTATTTGAGTCAGCTTCTTGAGCCGTATCTGGCCGTGCAACACTCACAGTGTCACATACTGTATGCAGAAGTATTATTTTAAGCAACACATTAAGTTGACGAAACACTCGAGTCAAATGTAATTAAAGTCAGATCGTGTCTTAGACGGGGCAGTGATTTCATAAACCTGTTAATGTACGCATTCAAACACTTTTTCTTTTACCAGCTGTATTCACCTTGCAGGTGCAGCTATGTGGCTTTTATCCTGGATAAAGTGTTTAAGTCATGGATGTTTAAAGTTTAACTTCTTCATATTTGACTAATATTAAAGTTCACTTTTCATTCAGGAAGTATGACGCTGCGCTGTCAGTACGCTTGTCCGTGTTTGAGATTGGTCGAATGCTCCAAATACCACCCCTTTTATGTGAACGCGCACCTAACTAGATAGGACACGGCTGGCTTGAGCGATCCACTTGATAACCGGCGTCGTAGTACAGTTTAGCGCCAGCGCGTATGTTTTGGCTTAGGCCAACCGGCTAACTCCAACATATCCAGGTTAGGTTGAACCAGCTTCGTAGTACAGGCCTCTGCTGGGGTTTAGCTGCTGTCCTGTGCCTTTTTTAATCGTTTGTTTACGTCCCTCACTTCCGTTTCGCTAGCTGAACAGCTGATCAGAGTGCTTTCTTGGCCCGATAGCTTGTGGCCGTATTTTGGCCGATTCAACATGTTGAATCGGCCGGGTGTCGACCGTGAAAGGCCAAATAAGGCGTGTCACGGCCGAGGGTTCGGGACACACCAAATTGACTTTGGGCGACAAGGAACGCGTTGTCGCCAGACAACGCAAGACGGCCGAATACGGCCTGGTGTGTCAGGGCCTTTACAGTACACAGTTGATCCTGAGTCCTGTCAGTTAAAGTGTTTCATAGTTAGCTTAGCTATGCATCAACCTAGCACTGAAATATATGGATGTTATGTGACAGTATTTCTGAGAAAAAGTCAGCTGAAATGGTGGCATGGTTGCCACTGCTTTACGTGTCGACAGCATGTTTGAACGTATTTGCAGCAGGAAATGTGGCTGTTTGGCCACTGACGTTGCCACAACACCTGAATTTAAATGTGCAACCTCTTTTTGTGACAGATTTTTGCATTAAATTATTGACAGCTAGTTTCTATGTGAACATTATGAGATGGACAGCCAGAGAGAATACATGAAAAACAGTTGTGAAATACTATATGACAGTCAAACAAGAATAGCCTACAGTTTAAAAGGGGAGTGATTTGTAAAATATAAGAAAAATAAAATCTGCTTAGTTCTGTTTCATATGGGTGTTGAGAGATGTATCCATAGATCTCTTAATTTTGCTCTCAAAGTGCACCAGATTGATGCTTTTAACTTCAATATTTAAAAAAATTAAGTATTAAACAATTGCGTGAGTGTGAGGGTATTAAAATAAATTGGTCAGTAAGTCAGGGATGTGCAACTATATTTAACTTTTTGTTTTACATTTTTTTTTATAAATGATTATGGGAAGTGCCCTTTTTCTCACTTGAGCTCCCGCCCCCCAAAATGTCTGTGCACGTCCCTGACTGTAATGTTTTCTGCTGTAATCCTCAAAGGCTGCTCAGCAGAGAGAGCATCAGACTGCAGCTGACCTCTGATCTGATTTGGTTACAAGTTGGTAAGGGGGCGTGGCCTTCACCAGACTGGAGCATATTACTTTTTCAAATGCATTAAAATAAGAACGTATGAACTGCATCTGTAATAATCTAAAACTAGACTCGATGTAAATCAACTAACGCCATTAAGTTATCTTATATACTGACAGCCGTTTTAGCCACGTGTCTTTCCCTTTTTGCAGGTGTCAGTGTAACGTTTGTCCGACACCTTGCTACCTGTCTAGATACAAATGTGTATTAACTATACAGTCATCATTTAGACTGAAAAAAAGAGCCAGCAGGTTGTGCAGGGCCAGTGTCAGCCATGTTGCCGCCTTTATACTGTACAGGCCCAGGAAGTTAAGGGATAGTGGACAACCGAGGGACTATCCAACAACATTTCTGCGGGAAAGGCAGAGCTCTCCCCGGCAAAGAGAAAGCAGATCATGATCGGTCTCTCGCTGTCTGAGGCGAGCTGCCTCCCCCGCCCCCACCCACCAGACCAACCGTCGGCGGTCTCCCGCCACCGACAAAACGAGCGCTCAGTGTGTCGCCTGTGGCTGTTCACCTGAGAGCGGACTGCTAGCTAACAGACAGGTGCATGTTTGTTTCTGTCTTACCGTTATTATTATTTTTTAAATGGAGGTCTCAGCAGCACACTGCGGCAGGTTCTCTCCTGCTGTCTGTCCACAGAGCCCGTTTGACTTCAGGAACCAGCAGAGACGCCACAGCCACGATATCACCACAGAGAGTTAAGAGACACATAACACACTACACACATCCGGTTGAGTCTTTCACAATAAAAGCGCTAGTGACTAAGGCAATGACAAGATAAAAATGAATATGAAATGAAGTGTTTAGCCTAGTCTAGTTTAGGCGCACAAAGCCTGAGAACAGGGTAAAGCTAGCTTTGTTGTTCAACCCTAGTATCTGGTGGAATTTTTCAGTTAAAAAAGCTGCATAAAAAGATAATTATACAATTTTATGATTTGACAGACTGCGATTTTACACATTTCCAACATGGATTAACACAGGTGATAATCATACTCAGTATTCAAATAGCTGTTGGAGGCTATTCCTTGTGTACACTTGGATAACTATATTTGCTCTGCCCTGCATTTGTTGCTCTGCTGCATTCAAAATCCTTTCAGAAAGATGCAGGAGATCCTGAAAGCCGGTTCTTGACCAGGTATCATTGCAAATTGTTATTTTCCCACACCCATCAATGTTCATCGTCCATATTTCAAATCACCTTTGTTTTATTTTCATGAACACTTTATTTTGGGGTTTTAATTAATGTATGACTAATACAAGTTATTTAATCATTTTTTTTCAAACTGATGCTTTTTGTGAAATGAAATGTCACATTGCATTGCCAACTTTCCAAAAGCAGAATCTACATTAGATAATAATAAATAAATATGGGAGAATACGTATTTAATGACACATTCAAAACAAACCCTGAACATAATCAGAATAAATATGGAAGGCATGGGAAAGACTTTGGTTATTCTGTGAAGTCAAACACTGAGCTTTTATTTCTTGTTCACTTCCGGTCGTATTGCTGCGATATGACACTCCTCACTCTCTCTCCCCGCCCCTCCTCTGACAAATAGTGCAACCGAGAGGAAATACAGAGACAACGTCTGGCGCAGTGCTCTGTTTGTCCCTGCTTAAATGTTTCGCCTGCTGTTGAATGCGACAGTGGATGAGACAGAGAGAGAGACAGGCAGACAGATACACAGTTAGAGAGAAGGACAGACAGACAGAGAGACAGACAGACAGACAGAGGGAGTTTATCTAATTTTAATGTTGAATGCTCTGAATCTTTCTCTGTTTTAAGTTAAATGCAATCTAAATCATTTATTATTTCATGTTGGAATGTCCAGGGTCTGAGGTCCTCTGCTTTTGGCCTTAAGAGCAGACCCCAGACTTCACCAAAGAGTTAGGAGATGCAGATGTGATTGTTTTACAGGAGACCTGGAGTAGAGGAGACATTTCCACTGGTTGTCCCTTAGGCTATAGAGAGATACTGTTCCCATCCACCAAACTCAAAGGTGTAACCCAGGGCAGGGATTCAGGAGGAATGCTGATTTGGTTCAAGGAAAAACCTGTACACTCAATAGAATTAATCAAAAAAGGCGAATTTTCAATTTGGCTCAAAATAAGAAGAGAGGTGGTCGCCATGGATAAAGACATATTCATGTACAGTATACAGCATATATCCCCCCATCAGAATCACCTTATTATAGTGAAAATAGTTTCTCCATTCTTGAAGATGAGATCAATCAGTACCAGGCCCAGGGAAGTGTACTGATCTGTGGGGACCTTAATGCCAGGACAGGTATAGAACCAGATTATATTAGCCCACAGGGAGACCAACATATACCTGGCCAAATCAGCACTCCCCTCCCTTCGCATCCCCACAGGAACAACTTTGACAAAACTGTCAACAAAAGCGGGCAGCAACTACTGCAGCTGTGCCGAATGCAGGGCCTGTGCATTGTTAACGGTCGGCTTCGAGGGGACTCCTTTGGTCACTACACACACAGCTCTCCTCTTGGCAATAGCTCAGTAGATTATAGCATCACAGACCTCGACCCCTTCTGTCTGAGGGCATTCACAGTCAGCCCCCTAACACCCTTATCTGATCATAGTAAAATTACACTCTACATTAAAAAGACAGTAACAGACCCTCACGCAGCAGAACCCAGTAAACTGAACTATACAAAACAACCTTATATATGGACAAACAATAGCAAGGACGACTACCAGAAAGCAATCAGACATCAAACAATTCAATCCCAATTAGACAATTTTCTATCCACAGTAATGATGGCCTGAATCAGGCTGTATGGGATATTAACAGCATCTTTGACAATGTGGCAGATTTATCCAATCTGAAAAAACCACAATATCATGAATCAAATAAGTCAGCCAATGAAAAGTGGTTTGATACAGACTGCAGACATCTGAGAAAAACCCTCAGAAGTTTATCAAATCAAAAACACAGACAACCTGACAATCCTGAGCTTCGCCTCCAATATTGGGAAACACTGAAACTATACAGAAGAACACTCAGAACTAAAAGGGAGCAACATGCGCAGCACCAACTTGAAATCATTGTAGAGTCCATTGACTCAAATCATTTCTGGAAGAAATGGCACTCTTTCAGCAAACCACACAAGGAAGAACTGGCTATTCAAAATGGGGACATTTGGAAAACACACTTTGAAAACCTGTATAGTACCATTACACTGAATTCGGCCCAAAATGATCTCCTCAACAAACTACAAATTCTAGAATCAGTCGTTAAAGACAACCAGAACCCTTTAGACCAGTGGTCGCCAACCAGTCGATCGCGGACCGTTAAAAAAAAAAGTAACAAAAGAAATAAAAATAAAATAAAAATAATAATGTTTGAAAAATAAGTTTTTAGATGTAAACCTATCATCCACCACCCCGTTTGCAGGTGCCACTTGATTGACGTATATTTTAGACACCTCAATAATATAATACATTAACCGTGCTTTACGTGAACCTAAATCATGACACAAGAGAGGACGGCAGGATTGCAATTTCCCGTGTTCAGTGAATGCAACAGAGGCAAGACACCAGACCAATCAGAGAGTTGCATGGAAATACACGTGTGCTTGTGTCATTCAAGCTCGGCTCTGTGTGTGTGTGGCAATAGCGCATTTAGTGTGAGAGAGAGGGAGAGGGAGAGAGGGAGAGAGAGGGACCGGTGCCAGCGGGGACCGTGATGTTAGCATCTGGTTAGCTAGCTGCAATAACGGACATAAGGAGCTGTTTCCATAACAAGCTGGAGGAGAGTCCTCTCCTCTCAGACTGAGAGACTCAGGTGAGCTAAAGGACTCTCTGAGTGTTTAGATATAGTTCACTTTAGTCTAAGCCAGGGGTCTCCAACCTTTCTTCATCTGAGAGCTACTTTCAAAAAATGAAAGTGGCCAAGAGCTACTTGCATCACATCGCTTACATTTATTCACATAGCCCTCATCAGTTGAATTAAGCTATACTTTTGTACACGTGTGAAATTGCAATACCTAAAGCTTATCAAAAATAAGGTCCAAGAAAACAAAGATTTCTCACATATTATTATGGCCCACATCACATATATCATAAGTACATCACTGAACATTCACATAAGTGTCCTTAATCACCACCTTACAAGCATTTCACTCTTTTGTTAGTGAGATGAATGGCACTGCATGCAGTCCACCATAGAGGTGTATGCTGGACCCACTTAGGTTCACTTAATAGAGTCATTTAAATGTTCATCAGTCGGTCTTGTTCTGTATTTAGATTTCATTCATGTCAGAAAAAGCTGCTTCACAAAGGTATGTAGAACAGAACCAAATAAAGCAGACATTTTCAGTGCTGCTTGGTGAATGTTCTTATAGTTTTCTGGGTCTACAAGGCTCCAGAAATGTTGTGAGTTTTGCTGAGACTTAAGCTGAACATTATTTTGGAGATCTCCACAGGATTGACACTGAACAGTTGTTCAGCCATCTTTTTCTTCTTCTTCTTCGTCTTGACATTAAATTATAAACCATAATAAATCAATTGTATAGGTCTAGCCTCCCTATATCTGTGTGTGAAAATGGTTCCATCCTCAAAAACAAAAAACTAATACTTCTGCAGTCTAGCTGCAGCTTCTAGCTACGGTCTTCTGTTAAAAAAAAGACACTGAATGTCTTGAATGTGGCATCACACACAGGACTTGAGTCTGAAAACAGCAGGAGTATTTACAATAGCATTATAAAAACAAAAATACTGCATGTGGGTGCACACTTACATTCTCTGTCTTACTGTTACATAAATCCCATGAATGTATGAGATTAAGTTAGCTTCATCATATCTCAATCAGTGATTAAGTGAATAATAAAGTTTCTATCGGGTCACTATCAGCCTGTCACTCATTATTTTCAGGGAGGGGGCGGGGTTTGGAGGAACGGAGAGGAGACGGTGATCGCGGAAGCTTTCCTCCTGCCTTCACAAATTTTACACAAGTATTTATCAACTGAAAATAGCAAGAGGACATTCATACTCTGCAATCCAAGACTTGATTAAATCCACCAAAAACCTGACATGACGATAACGAGTGTTTTTCAAAAAACACAAATCCCTCCCTGTGTGTCTCTGAGGCGCAGCGACAGGGCCTGATTCAGAGCGGGTCATTCTGCTGTTGGTTCTGGACTGGTGCTGGTGGAGAAAGCAGACTGCTCCGTGTGTGTTGTCGCTGTGCTGCTGTCACGTCTGTTCCTTGATCTCTGCGTCACCGACCATTTGATATTCGTGTGACAGAAAAAAATTCTAAAATAAAAAAACGTTATTGTCCAGCCGCGGCCGAAAAATCAATAAGCAACCTTACTACGCTATAATCGATAATCGAGCGGCGAGCTACTGAAAAGCTGCCCGCGAGCTACCGGTAGCTCGCGATCGACGTGTTGGAGAGCCCTGGTCTAAGCTATCTCAGTGGGTCTCAAACGGTTTTGTCACAAATTATTCAAAAGATTATTTCCGCGGCACACCTTCATATGATCATTATAGTTATACAAACAATAAGAGAAAAAATGAAAAATAGGTATGAAATACTATATGGCAGTAAAACAAGAATACAGTTTAAAAGGGGAGTGATTTGTAAAATATCCATAAAGAAAAAGAAAATCTGTTTACAGTTCTGTTTCATATGGGTGTTGAGAGAGGTATCCATAGATCTCTTCATGTT